CTGATGACTATGTATATTTATAGTTCATACATGAAGTATTACATTTGTACACTCCAGTCTGGTGCTGTGTGCGTAAACTCAGGGGAGGAGCGACTGTCACAGGCAAATTTCCCTCATGTACAGTACCGTTCGCGTTATAGTTAACCGGGTACCCCGTTACTAACGGGTTAGATTTTCGTCAGAAAATGGTTAGAAAATCGTCAGTATTTGGTTAGATTTTCGTCAGAAAATGGTTAGAAAATCGTCAGAAATTATTTCTAACGCGTTACCGTTTGCGTTAATGTGATAGGGTCGGATTTCATGTTTGTTTTGCGCGCCGACAAGACAATAGCAATTTGCCACCTCCTGGGGCGTCCGCTAATGTGTTGCGATGTTGCCCCTTGAAAAATAACAGCACCAGAGGCAAGTGGACATGTGATTCGTAAAATAACTTTGTGGTTTATCAATGTGTCGACTGTGTGAAGCGAATTGTGCTATCTTTTAATGCTATTCTATAGTTATTTCTAGCGGAAAATTACGTTGTGTATACAATGTATGTCAACAAAGTGTAGCAGTGGGCAGACGATGTCTTGTACATTTTGTACCAGCGGCGGCCTACCGCTCTCACAGGACGTAATGGTACGTGACGAAACAAGAAATATCTGCCGTAGAAGAAATATAAATCGGTAACTCATGCCTTAAATTCACGGCGGATTTTGACACAAAAGAAAAATTATTATAATTTTTGTAAGGCGCGCGGCTTACTAGTAGTAGCATACTCACGGTAAAATGTAACGTTACCGTCACTCCCGGCGCAAGGACTCGGTTCGCCAGCTGAGGACTTTCTACAACCATGATGATATCATACTTAAATAAAGGAATATATAATAGATCTATCATGTTGAAATGATAATTGTAATACATAGCGGTAGTTTTGTTTCTTATTTTGAGGGGGGGAACTGTCAAAAATCGAGGGAACGCAAACTGAGATCGGCTCACTTCCGGGTGCATAACGCCAAAATTTCTCGACGATTATATAAAAATGACCACTCATTTGCCGCCTACGGTAGCGTGTACATGGTAGTGCGATCATATCGTGCCAAAGTCAGCGTCAAACGTCAGAAAATCCCCGTAAAAATATAGTTGCAAAACACATTTCCCGCGCACTCAGGGCCGGTCGCCCTGGCCGCGGCCGCCCTGTGATGCAGGCAGCATGCTCATTATAATATGCAAGTAGCTACGCTCTGATTGGTTCACCTTAGATGACCTGCGCTGTGATTGGCTAGAACGAAGCCCGTTGCATGCTGGGGCGCCAGGGCGCGCGAAGTGCAGAGAGCTCGATCTCGAGAAAGCCACATTTACGCTGGTTTCTACCTTATTTCTACGACTAATTAGCAACATCCTAGTGACGAAATGCGTACTCAAAAGAATTTTCGGGAAAAAAATATTTGTACATGTGGATTTGTGGTGCCTTTGGCGTAATTTTGTTAGTCACATACAACGTAATGTAACACGGAAGTGCATGGAGTCGGAGTCGCGGCACGGCTTTCCGTCCCACTCCAAACAAAACTCCAAGGACATAACAAAACTCCCCAAAACTGGTCAATAATTAGCCATAAAAATGTTGGTGGGCACGTGTAAATATGCTGCCTTTTTTCGAGTGTTATAGGAATTATTCGCGATGTTTTGCACATCCCTAACGTTACCTCACGCCGGGCCCGCCGCCTATTATGTACGGCGGACCGGGGCATTTATAACTTCAGATCATCTAGGATTGCATATTCGGTGGTAAAATAAGTAAACAAACAGAGAAAAACAGCAAAATAAACTTGACAAACTATAGAAACGCTTGCCTGGGCAACAGTGACAAAAGAAAATGTCGATCTAATTGATGCGCCGGTGATCGTTAAACGTTTTAAACGTTACTGTTATATAGTAAAATGCGGGCTAGATCAACGTTCCTTCCGCTGTTCCAGCGGTGTGTATCGGTAATTTCCCGCCCCGCATGAGGTAAATTAGTACTCCTCCCACGATTCCTGTGATGTTACCGCGCCTGCATATGAATGGAGAAGTCTGACGAAAAAGAAACGCGTTACTTTCGGAAAAGTAACGGAAAACTTTCGGAAAAGTAACCAGTTAATAACGGAAAACTAACGGGAAAAAAACGGAAAAGTAACGGCCGTTAGGGTAACTATAACGCGAACGGTACTGTATCATCATTACTACCAGGTTAGGCCACACTAACTCATTAAGCTGGTTTGGGAATTAGGTCAGGATGAGAATAGTGCTACAGGCCTGGGGGAAACCCGAATCTGATTCTATTATTCCTTCCAAGACTCTGTTTTTATGTTGCTTTCTTTTAAATCCATCAAATTTAATTTAGGGCCCAGTAATATTTCAATTTTGACCTTCTTATAATTGCCAAGGAGGCTGCAGCCTATATACGCTCCTTGTAATTGCTTCGTAGGTTTCATATCTTTTGTGTACAAATTTGTGTTTTCCCTAAATTACACTTTGTATTAAAATTTGCATCATGTAAATTCAACCATACCACAAGGCAATAGGAGGTATCAATAACAGAGCTAAGTGTGCAGAACAGCGACAGTTTATTGATCAAAACTGTTTGACAAACCAGTCGGTCTGACATCTTCTTCCTGCCATTTCTCCTCCTGTCCTTCTGTCGGTTTGACATGACTGAAAGCAGCAGACAATTTGCTGCCTGTTGTGCCGAATATTGAGATTCATGGGCCGTCGTTCGGAGCGGGAACGTTCCGCTGGATAAATCACGTCGTTTGTCTTCCCGTGTCAGACGCGCTTCACGAGTCGTCGATCCTCGCTCTGCCTGACGGGTTTATTACAGCGGAACAATAAAGGCTCTATCAGTGGGGGGGGGGGGCTTCGGCTGCTCTGACTTGGAATAGCATTAGAGCAACATCAAGCATCAGTGAAGGTTAGACATCCACGGAATAAGATACAACAAAAAAACAGTTACTCAAGCAACTGGATATGATTTGGGAAGCAATCCAGGGAATAAGATACTACAAAAAATAGTTACTCAAGCAACTGGATATGATTTTGGAAGCAGTCAAATGTTTCAAGTAGCATCCACTATCTTTCGTCAGAGACAAGTTGGAATTGTCAGAAAAGCAGGCCTATATAGGTTTAGAAGTATGAAGTATAGATTGATATGCATATCAAACTTTGTCTTCACTTATTTCTACATTAATCATTTGTCTCACTCTAACAGGTGTAATTTTTTTTTATATCAATGCACAGGTAAAAAAAACCTTGACAGGTATGAATATATTACAATACCCAGGTAAAAAAAACATACCAAAACAAGTGATGACCTAGGTGAGAACCATTGCTTGTACATGTGTTGGATCAAAAGTCTTGACATTAAACAAATACCTGCAAAATCTGTTAACAGCCCAACTCTAGTCCCTCTGGACTCCCCAGCAGAGGACTGGTGTATGTACTATGATTGAGTTAAGGCAATTATAAGTAATAACTGCAGATTTGCATAATGCTACAGGCAGACAACCTGATTATACTATTTATAGATTATATATAGACTCCAGGACTTCTCAAGACAGTCAGACTGGAAATACTGGGTGCAAAATATACACTTTTGTGCACTCAAAAATGGACATGTGCACATATGTATTCTTTCATTTCGTGAGTGCGCACACATATTTATGTGCTTAGCAACTTGTAAGGTACACTAGCTTATGTTGCATATATACATTGTTGTAATTTAATTTTTGATGGTTAAAATTCATCATGACAAAGGAATCAGTTTCATAAAGCAAGGAAGAAGATTAATTCATGGGTCTACTCTTCTTGGTTAACCCCATACACACCCTTGTGCCCTGAAATGACCTCCAAATGTGCAGAATATCCATCAGTGATACCACCAACCCCCTGCAGACCCCCACCTGTGGGAATATGGCATGATATCTGGCCAGTGTCAGACGTCTGACAGTCTATATTATAAATACCTGCTACAACACAGTAACAGTGAGAAACTCACAGCCTTGTACTGTGGAAAAAATTTGTGACCCTCAGCATTGCCTTTATTCCAAGTTTAAAACCAGAAGTTCTGCTGCAGTACCACAACAAGCTGCCAGGGAGCCTAAAATGTAATCATTTCTAGGTCTCAACAGGACCTTAGCCCACAAAGTTTCATGGCAATCCATCTAAAGCTTCTTGAGTTATCATGCTAAACCACATACACAGTCAAATACCTATACACACAGTCATACATACAAACACATACATACACACACACACAAATGCTACAAAAACATGACCTTCTGGCGAAGGTAAGAATAACAGTAGAACAATCAGTGCAGACTTGGCGACCTGCCAACCTCCCCAACCTGCAGATTTCATGTATTGATTCCCAATATCCCCGCTGGAGGCTACGTATCGACATTTCTCCTTCATAACAATCTCCCCGTTTTCCTCCCAATCGACCACCAGTGCCACAACGTTACACACAGATTCTGCCGAAACGTTTTTAAACTCTGGCAGATCAACTGGAAACGTATAAAATGTGGCCGCCGCCGCCGTTAAACACAAGACGACAGTGAGACCATCAGATGTACAATAGGCCATGAAATGAGCAGTCGACAGGGCAGTCGTACGTTACCTGCATTCCTGCATAGTCAAACCATCAGAAACCACTGCCGCCATGGCGACTGCACAAGTCCTCATCACCTCAGCACCGGGCCGGGAGGCAGTTACCGTGCCAACAGGGGGATGTGCGGACCTCCCAACATCCTCACATCACCTACATCTGCCTCCTCATCATGCAAATTCCTGCAGGTACCATCTTAATTACGGGGGTGTTTGTCGAAATCTTACCTCAAATATAGCTGCACTTGCCAAAATAATGATAGATCAGATATAAAGTAATGAAAGAAAAGTATTTTCTAGTATTTCTAAGGTTGATATCCCTTAGTTATGATGAACATTGTGTGACATAATAATCCACCCCCTGTTTAAGTGGTACGCGCCAGAATACCCGGAAGTGACGTCACCAGAAGGGAAATTCCATCATGGCGGACCGAGAGAGGGAAGTTTTAGAAAAGCAGATCAAATGTTTGTCCAGTAAGTCCTTTTTCTGCTGTTTTACCGCTTTTTAACAATTCTGGCGAACAGAACACAGTATGTAGAGCATTCCGTGTGATTTTCGTGAGCTGGGGTTGCGGTATTGTTGAGAAAGTTGGCCGAAATCCGCTAGCTTCGTCCCGGCCGGAAGATTTTGCGGTGTCAACAAAAAGCGAAACTGAGGCGTCAGCAGAAGGTCGGAGCGCGACGTTAGAAGTCAGGCGGGGTTTCTGTACCAGGTAGCCGCCGGTGTGGCATGTTGGGTGGGTTAAGGCGGCTGGGACGGCGTTTTGTGCTTGTGTTTGTCAAAAATTCGGCCTGCTGAGACCGCGTGGTTAAAGATTTTTGTTTACATTTTGTGTGCACATGTCATGACATGTTTTTGTTTTGAAATAGAGGCTTTTCATTGACGTCATAGTAATTATCATATGAATCTCGGCGACCAGGTGTTAGCAAGTAAACTGATTAGTAAATAGCATCATTATGGACGTGTTAATATTTATTTTAAATAGACAGCCAATTTGTTCCCTGTATAGCTTACTATAAGCATATAGTCTACAAGAGGTCACCCGGTATTGCTTTACTTTTGCCCAATTTTTTTATAATTAATAACCATTTTAAAGGCTAGTTACAAAAGCTGTGTGAATGGACAACTCAACAAACACACTAGCTGTTTGACCTCTTGTGGTGAAAACTTCACTCTGGTGTGTTACATGTGCTAGTAACACCCCCTGTCAGACTGATGCAGAAATGCAGTCCCGCTCAAACGTTAAGAGTCTTTTCAATGTACGACTCCTGAATTTAGTCAGTCCTTACTGTCAACTTATGACACTGACTTAGGGAGAAAAGATGGTCTTATCCACACAGCCCTGAAGTGGACTTCTAAGTTCTAATTCTAGCCTTGTTTTAGAGGTGACCTTAGAGAATAAGGAAAATCAAAGATTTGTTCATTACACAGACATTACTACAGGCATTGTCTGAGTGGAAGTCCATCACCAGGGTGTAAAACAAAAGTCTCTGTTTGACTGGAAAAGTAGCAGGGATGCAGTAATGTCTGGTGCCGGGGTGTTACACAGGATAGGTGATCTCAGGGTCTCCCATATATGGTACCCACACTCCATATATGGTAATCACTCTCCATATTTTGTCAGTGGAAAATCCGACAGGAAACAGCTTTTCACACGTCTGTGACATGGCCGGAGCTGGGCATGCAGTTCTGGTGACATGTGCTAGATGGTGCTTTTGGATTGTCGAAGTCATTGACAGAAAAAAACTTGTGCCTACATTGCTCTAGGTATTATATTTGGAGAAACTGTCCTCCTGGCGATTGTAAAGCTTATACTGGCAGACTGCAAACTTTGACTTTCATACCAAAAGACTTGGATGTTAGAGAAGTTTGCAGAGCTTCAACCTGGTAATCTTGAGTGAGTTTCAGAAGCATTCTTTGGTGACAGACCAATCCCAAAGCCCCACCCACCTGCCTGAAAATGTAAAAATGCAAAATATAAATGCAAAGACATTATTTCATGGATACGCAGCCAGTATAATTGCTATTTTCTAATTGATTGAACTACTAACCACATGTATAATGGACAGCCATCATCAGTTGATGATATCTGAATTTGTTACGTTGTTTTTCTTCCTCAGATCTGATCAGTACCCACAAGCAGCTGTCTGCCCAGGAGGGAGGGCGGGTACAGGGGCGGGGCAGGTGGAGACAGCACACCTGTGCACCTGTCGCCCCGCAGGGACAGGCCAGGCACAGGTACACCTGGAGCGCATCTGGGAGCAGTACTCACCTGTCTGCACCTGCCTCCAGCACTCACCTGTCCTCTTCTGGTTCCACCCACAAACTGGTGAAAACATCCACAGTCAGCAGCGGAAAAACAACAGTAACACCCTCCGTACCCAAACTGGTGAAAACGACGTCTGTCAGCAACACAAAAACCATATGCACAGCCTCCGCGTACAAACTGGTCAAGCAGACAGCACCCGTGTCTGGTCACATGACTGTAACCACGGCGACCACAGGGTGCAGCTCAGGTCGCCCCACCTCCAAAGTTATCCCCGTGAGCAGACCCAGTTCTAAAGTTACAGTAACTACTGCAGCTTCACAACAAGGCAGCTCTCAGTCTCAGTACAGATGGACAACCTCTACTGCTGCCTCTGGGGTGGTACAGACAACAGCAGCACCTCCTAACAAAACCCTGAGAACTGCAGTCCCCACAGGTAAAGTTACAGTAACTACGGCAGCTTCACAACAAGGCAGCTCTCAGTATAGATGGACTCCTGCTGCTACAACCACCGTTGCCTCTGGGGTGGCAAAAAGAACTGCAGCGCCCCCTAACACAGCCCTGAGAACTGCAGTCCCCCCGGCTAACCCAAATGTACAGAAACCTGCAGCATCAGTAGTGAAGCCTGCAGCCCGTCCTGTGCTCACAGCTACATCTGTTAGTGTTAAGTCACAGGCTGACTGTATCGTTTCTACAAAGTACTCACTGAAGAAGGTTCCCTCCTCTTCGGCACAGCTTTCTCCAAGTAAAACTTCCACCCCGAGGATGTCAGCTGTTGCCCAACCCCCCACCGGTAGGGTTCAGTCCAGTCGGTACAAGTTTAGGAAGACTGTTCCCGACTCAGACCCTCCCCATGCCCACAGTAGTGCTGCCGACATGGCGGGGACATCTGGGGTGACGTCCAGTCGGTACAGACTGAGTAAAGTCGGACCAGCAGGAACAAACAGGACAGGAACACACCGGGGAGGTGTGAGGGGGAAAACTCCGTCTCCTAAAGTTCTCACAAGTAAACACAAGCTAAGACGTCACCCTTCCGCCGGGAGAGGAAGTGTTGTGTCTAAGACGTCCCCGGGTCTGAGTAAGAAGTCTCCCGCGGGGCTGGTGGCCGTCGGGAAGTACAAGCTGCGAGCGAAGCGATCCCACTCGGCGGGCACGCGGCGCGGCGGCAGGAAGGCGGCAGGAGGAGTGGTCAGCAGGTACAGACTGGTCAAGCCGGACTCAGGCAGGTCAGTAGGATAAAACCAGGGATCATGGATTTCCCTTGTAATGTTGTTTGTCCCATGTTGGAGTACATGTATGATGTACATTATTGATTATACATTTCACACTCTAACATGCTGCTTCTGTACTCTAATATGGTCACTAGGATTCAAATTATCTCAGTTTCAATAATGGTTACTACACTCAATAGAACAACACTAGGGGATGTAGGCTTATGTCATGATGTCATTTGTGCCATGTTGGCGTACATTTCGCGTCTGTTACACCACACACTAACATGCTGCTTCTGTACTCTAATATGGTTACTGGGATTCAAGTTATTCAAATTACCTGTCTAATTTCAATGCTGGTTACTAGTAATACTGCTGTATGTATATGTATTATGTATATGTATATGTATATGTATATGTATGCCTTTTGCTGAAGCAAGTGTGATTTATGAAACGTGGCCTTCAAAATGAGGTGTTTCTGACCTTTCTCTTGCATATACAACATGGTTGCAGTTTGGATGATGTCTGCTAGGTGGCACTTCTAGTCCATCTACAGATTCCAAGGGTACAAACTTGTGGTAGTCATGTCAGGTATATGTTAGATTTTGCCTGACAGAATCAGCAAACAAGAAACGGGAAAATGATTGGAAAGCTAAGTTTGCACATTGTTACAGTAAACACCTCATGTAAAGTACCAACACAAAGTTGTACACTACATGTACGCTACACTACATGTACTATAAATTTATTTATTTTCACAGGGACATAATTTAGTGGTATGGGGAAAGGAGGAAAGGAGTTTTATATGGTAGAAACAGTCCTGTAGGACAGCAGAGATACAGCACACACATTTGCAGCAGCATTTTGCAATATGAAGTCATGATGATCACCAGGAAAATAAACCCACCACAAACATTTTAAGATCCACAGTAGTTTCTAAAAGCAGCAGGAGAGGTTGTCATGGTGACAGACTTTGATTGACAGCTTCAGCAGACAGCTCTTCCACACGTACATGTCAGTCAAGTCTATCATCAGTTATGATACTTGATACTTTATTGGGATATCCATTAGTTGCAAAAGTGACTGCAAAAGCAACTACTAGTCTTACTGGATTCCAAAACACATAATGTCACACATACTACATAGTACAGACATGTCAGGACTGGACACTGCTTCATTTCTTTTTCCTATATATGAATAGATCTGGCCTCTGCCCATGACCTCTCACCTTGCGTGTGGGGCATGCTGGGAGTTTCTGGTTCTTCCCACGGGATCTATTTCTGGGTCAAGGTCAGGAGGGTCGGGTTTCAGTAATGACCTACATAAATCATCATCATCAGCTGGGCCTGTCCATCACAGCCGGGCACTGGAACGTCGGGGTCATCCGAGGTCGCACTAACACTACACAGACTGTATATAGCGTTACTGGTGGTATATATGTGGGGGGGGGTGCATGCAGGTACTAACTGGTTAGCTGTGTGACAAGAAAACAGTTACTCAAGAACTGGATAGATTTTGAAAACTGACGTTTCAAGTTTCTTCATGTCCAGACTAACACAGGTCCTGTGACTGGTATATTAGCCATGTGGGAAAACAATACAAACAGAGGAATGTTACAGTCACTGTCTATGTAGTGACCAGGACAGACTCACATCTACAGACACCTGTTTCATCAGTCATTATCACTTCTTTCCTCACTTCATTTCTCCTCCTGCCTCCGCCTCAGGTCATCTGAGGACACGGGGACAGCAAAGTTCCCCAGCCAGGAACAGCTGAGATGGACAAGGTCAAGTTCCGCTGGTGTCATGGCGGAGCAGGGTCGGGTTACAGGCACCAGGAGGGGCGGCCGCTACGTCATCCCCGGAACAGGTGGGTGTGGCTGCTGCAGGATGGGATAGGTGTGGTGCATGGTGGGATAGGTGTGGTGCATGGTGGATAGGTGGATATGGCTGATGGGATAGGCTGCGTGGTTGTGAGTGTGGTGCATGATGGAAAAGTTACAGCAAAATTGGTGCATGATTGGCAGTTCAATTTAGTAAGAGTGACAGTGTGAGTTCTTTCCTTTGGTAACTACTGGAATGGTTTAAGTGTTTTAAGTTTAACAATCATTACAATTAGTTACAAACATACATGTGCAGGCATGTAAGAAATGAGAAGTGATGAGCTGTCAATATCTAATTTTGTTAGGAGATTTTACTGGAAGGGTGGATTCCTTTGATAATTGGAGTATATAATTTACTACACGTGTTAAGAACAAAGCTGCTCTGGTTGTAGTGAAATGTCTGTACCCTGAGTCCATCCTGTTGCTGAGCGACTACCCCCCCCTGTCAGGACTGTGTCTGGTACACGTGTGTGAGGTGTCAGGTTACATAAGTTACAGGTGTCAGGTTACCTCAGGACTGGTGGGCGGGGCTCAAAATAGAGCCTCTCACTTCCCTCTTCATGTATAAAGAGAGCCATCTCATGTTCAGTTGGATGACCTTCTGAGAGAAACAGAGAAAGGAACCTCAGTCTTGATAATAACTTTGACTGACATTGGAGACTTACATACATATATATACATACATAATGTTCGTATAAAGAGGTTTTGCCTACAAAACCCACTTCTTATACTTATAGCTAACTATATACATGTAGCTGTTAATCTCCAAGCAGATCATACGGTGGCAAGGCAGTATCCATTGGCCAGAGGAGTGTCCATTAGCCACCGAAGATCTGCCTGCACTCGCACAGGGAGGAGCACTTCCTTTCAAAAATGGTGTTGCTGCCCCTCCTTGTGCCCCTATTAACAGCAATTGAAAAAATGGCCACGCTAAGGTTTTTACAAGCGGTTTATAGCTTGAATCTGGGACAAATTCAGTCACCCGCGCACATCTCAGTGGGAGTTCCCCCCCTAACTGAATCAGATACAATTCTGTATGCTGGCACTGTGATGCTTTCTGAAACATGGAAATGGATACTTATGGTTAAAATTTAAAACCCCATGCCAGACATTACAAAACACAAGGTGAACCTTCTCCTCCGGATCCATTGTTTAAACTGCCCAATACATGTATAACAGTTGGTGTTGTGACCCATAGACAGACTTCCTGTAACGGCCAACCATGCAGCCCCACAAGGAGGACAATAGCCTTGCCCGGTGGTTAGGGCAATAAACTACTTGGCAAACACATTCTGAGTAGGCAACAACTAGGTGTTAATAGCCTTTGACGTTTCGACTGCAGGCAGATCTTCGGTGGCTAATGGACACTCCTCTGGCCAATGGATACTGCCTTGCCACCGTATGATCTGCTTGGAGATTAGTAGCTGTGTCCATAGTTTATAGTGAGAGTTTGTGTTACCGGTAGGGTTGTACAACTTGTACTCCATCCCCTTCTAGTGACTGTCCAGCTTTGACTTAAAAGCATCAACAGTTTCGGCTGCTGGCAGGTTTGGTCAGGTTTTGCATAAAGTTTCCTCCTTTTTTCTTTCGTTGTTTCTTGTCACGTAAAGTGTGAGAGTACCCTGCCATGGTGCCGGCACCCTTACTAACCCCCCACATCCCAACAAGCACACACAGAATGTCAGGCATCAGGGCTCTGCTATTTTCACTCGGCCAAGGGGGGGGGCTGACAGGGGGTCAGACATGTGACACCGCCCGACACCTGCCTGGTAACCTGATACCCCCCTGCATGGTAACCTGACCCCCCCTGACGCCACGGCTGATAGATCGGCCGCCGGGAATAGCCGCCCCTCCCGCCCTCGCGTGACGCGCAGAAATCCCCGCCGACTGTTTCTGCTGCTGGATAAACTTGTCCAACCTATAAAACTACCCGCTACGTAAAACTGGGCACTCGGGAGAACCTTTACGTGACTTTAGTACTGGCCATGGGCCAGAGGGAGCAAGTTGTATATCTGTCATACTTACATTTGTCTGCAGTATATATGTAGTTGTTCAGTTGTCACATGTAATGATGTATAGATTCTTCTGGTGTATTTTACAGATAGTTGAAGTATCGACTGCACAGAGAAAAAGCTTAACTTCATGTGGCCTCAAAATTGGCCAAGGGCCAGAGAGAGCAAGCTGTATATCTGTCATACTTACACATGTCTGCAGTATACATGTACTTGTACAATTAGAACATGTGTAGATTCTTCTGGTCTATTTTACAGATGTCTGAAGTAAGGAGAGAAAAAGGTTCATGACACTGGCTTCAAAATTGGCCATGGACCAGCGTGGGCAAGCTTTACATGTAGATCTCTCATGCTTACAGTTACACATGTCTGCAGTATATATGTACTTGTTCCACAATTGGCACATCTTCTGATGTATTTTACAGAGAAAAAACATAACTTCATGTGGCTTCAGAGTAACTAATTAGCTGTATATCTGTCATACTTACACATGTCTGCAGTATACATATACTTGTTCCACAATTGTCACATGTATAGATTCTTCTGGTGTATTCTACAGATACTGTAATTCATTTTAAGTTCAGGGTAGCAAAAGTTCACGGTCTGAGAAAAATGGAGGTGTTCATGGAACTATATGTTCACGGTGGCGACATGTGCAGAAAAAAGGAAGCCCCGAACTATTTGTTAACGGTAACAGTAAGTTCATGGTACAGAAATGACAGTCAAACAGTGAACATAAAAGTTCCGTGAAATGATTGAGGATTTACAGTATCTGAAGTATCGAAAGAGAGAAAAAATGACACTGGTTTTAGAATTGGCAATGGCCCAGAGTAACCAAACTGTATATATATATCTGTCTTCCTTACACATGGATGTGATGTACATGAACACGTTTCACACTTGTCACATGTACGTGTATAGTACATGTATGTTCCACATATAGCAGGGACTGATACTGTGTCAACCACTGACTACTTCTACAGCATACTGATGTATCTGCTGTACTCTTCTGTAGTTTTAGGATGGCCAGATTGACCAAAGTTGGTTTTATGTCAGTGATATACCCATAGCTGCTGTAGCAAAGTTCTTTGTACTGTTGGTACAATTTAGCATGAAAACAATGTATATGGATAGAGAAAATGGACGCTATAGCAAAATTGTCTTTGCCAAGCACGCCCATATTATCATAGAGCCAAATTGATGGATTAGTGGCTAAAACTTTGGCATGTGTGGAAGTGTGAAGACTTCATAGAAAGGGTAGCTTAGAGGATGCTTACACTGTTACAGATACCTGTACAGGAATAACAGCAATCAACAGCAGTCATGACAATGCCCGTAGAGGGACGAAACCCGCGGGGTCGTCCGAAAAAGAGATGGATAGACAGTATTAGGGAAGATGTCAAAAACTTGAAACTGCAGAAGGCCAACCCGCTAGACAGAAGCAGCTGGAGAGCAGCTATTAGACCCAAACGACACCCCACGACGTCCAACCCTTGCATGACGGGGAACAACGGACGCTAAGCCGAGCAGTGAGTGAGTGAGTGATTGATACAATAATCTTCTTCAGAAATAATATATGGTGTTTAAGGAGCCTAACTTTTAAGAACTCTCATTCTCAACTTGTCTGGGGCCCGACATTAAATTAAGTCTGACTCAGTCAGTGGTATAAGTATAACTATAAGCAGTCTCTTGTCTTACGTAGACTAGCTTTAAGAAGCCTGTTGTGTTAAGTAGCAGAAGGAGGGCAAGGTCGGCCATTGGCACAGGTCCACATACTGGTGCAGCCTGCCGGACAGAAATAAACCTACATGGCAGACAGGATGGATCGGCCCTGTCCCCCCTCCCACGCGATGGATCAGTCCTGTCCCCCCTCCCACGCGATGGACCGGTCCTGTCCTATCCTTGGTGTGATGGCCACCTACAGGTGTCTCCTACACTCCTGCTAACCAGGCTAGCAAGGCCACTCAAAGTTGTAGCCTAGCTTCTCAGACATTTCATATCACAAACTTATCAGGAAGCTAAAGGCTGAAAACAGAAAAATGTGAACCTGAATACCAGAGACTTTGTGAACCAATGCAAGTTCGCCAAGTTTTCAAAAAAGTTTTCAAAGGAGATATTATTCTCTTCCTGTCATCCAACATTCTGCATGTGGGAGTTATAAGTTTAACGTCCATTCAGAAAAACTGAGAGTCTTACCATTTACTGTATGACATATAAGGCTCGAAATTCATTTTTGCAAAAAAGGTACACTGGTGCACCTAGATAGCTGACTTCAAGATTTATACCAATGGTGTAACTTACTACTAAGTATAACTGGAGTCTGTGTCACCAGACACTGACCTGATCTGAACTTGACCTGAAGTGAACCTGAGCATGTTCAGAACGCCCGGCATGTCTGGGAGATGAGAGCTGGAACATGGTTTATGCCGGCTGGAACCGGTTAGGACCTTATGCAGCTCGTACGGACTAACTTTAGGGACAGAACCGGCGTGTAACGCTGCCAGCTCGCGGCAGGGGGGTTAATTTGTCACACAGATAACACAGAAGTTACGACAGGATTGCTCGATGTTTGGGTCCAGCCTGGGGAGGAAATGGTGAAATTTCCGGACTGATCTTTGCTCTGATTGTCTGTCGTACGTCTGGGTAGTGAGGAGTTGTTTTTTGGCGTGTTTATGCTTGTGTGTGAATTTGCTTGTGTGTCCTTAGATATTTTAGAGTGGCAGGAAGGCAGTAGGAGATTTTCTAACCACAGATTGACAGAAGTTCCACCCACATAGGTACTGGGACTTGTCACAAGAACTTACATGTGTAGGTTCATGGATCCCCAACCTGTCCTTGTCCTAGGCCTTGTACTACTTGTACATCAGACCATCAGTTCTCTTTGCTTTGGTTGTGCCAATAAATTCACAAAAACCCTAGATTCTTCCTTGTGGTTTGAAATATCTGATTTCTTGTCTTGTGTGTTCCCTGGGACCTGTGGGCTAAACTGACGAGTCCTAACCACTTAGGGCTGATGTGAGCCGGAGGCTGCAGACCACAGAACTGTCTGACATGATCATGTCATTCCCAGGCAACAGTCAAATTCAGGATGACAAATGGTGATAGTTAGGAGTTCAGATGTTCATGACATTTGTGCTGGGATTCCCACAAAGTGTGCTTAGAAGAAAAGGTTTGCAAACTTATTGTAAAGTTTGGAAACATTTTTAGTCATACATGTATCTCTGTTGTGACTTTATTGTTTTGTGTTAATATATACATAATGTATATATTTACTATATACCAGTGACTAAATAATGGCACTGAGGCGATTTTGGAAACCTTTTTTCTCACCCCTTTGTAATGATCTTGTATTTATGGGACAAGCAGCAGGGTTGAATATACGAGTGGGCCGCCAAAGAAACAGTTTAGTTTGGCTGTCGCTGCAATATTTCCAAACGTTAATCACCGTGGTAACCAGCTGTTGCTCCCGGCAACGAATTGTCTGAACGTTTCCCCGCAACCACCCGGAGCAGAGTCCGGGCTTATAAGGCGCAAACATCCGCCCTGGAGGTTCCGGCCGCCATGACGGGTGCTGGGGGAGAGGGAAACTGTCGGCGGGGGGATTTGTGGTCCCCGCCAGGGCTGTAGCCCGCTTGAAATTTTTATTTCGTCAGCCCAGGTTCATCATGATCGGACTGGGGGGTGTTTAGTGCTCGCAATGTAAGGGAGGCGTGAGCAAATTTAGGATTTCCAAGCCTTTTCCTACACCTTGAGAGGAAAATCATGTTACCATCAGTGTAGGAGATAACGTCACGTTATCAGTTTGTTCTGCAATTTTGAAATACTTTCTCTAATACTTTCTTCTTCCAGCTTCTACTAGTGGCTGAATTTAGAGTTTGGTGCAGTGCAATTAATAATTGCTAATTAGGCACTTAAAAAGGTTGTTACAAAAACATTCCGTAAGATATTGAAAAGTACATTTCTATGTGTATGTAGTTACCTTGCATTGTGTTGAGGTTTTAAATCCTCCTGGAGTTTGTTACCTTGGTTCACCTGAGTCACAGGTGAGCCTGCAGCTCACATAACTCCTGCTAGGTGTCCTCGTGAGACCACACCTGCTGGGCCTGCTGCAGTAATGACGGGGAGTCTGGGGACTCTTCATGGCTGACCTGTTCATTTTCTGGGTCATAAAGCCTTAAACAATTTGCACCCCTGAATGAGCTGTTGATGTGGTGTGACAAATGTGCTGTGTACAGGCCAAATGGGACAGAACTACACATATATACACCATGTACTATACACTACGACACTGTACATGCCAAATGGGACAAAACTACACCATGTACTATACACTACGACACTGTACAGGCCAAATGGGACAGAACTACACCATGTACTATACACTACAGCACTGTACAGGCCAAATGGGACAGAACTACATCATGTTTGTACTATACACTGCAACACCCTAACAACATGATATGTTTTTAAACTGTTTCACATTTGTCAGTGGAACTCTGTAAATTTCAGACCAAGCTTCTTTTGGAACTGATTTATTATATTTGAGGTATGATATCTGCACAAAAAGATAAGTTCTGTAGTGGAAAACAGCAAAACCATGTGGGCCAAATGACATAAAATTGGGTTATTTGATATCATTAAATGAGCAGCAATTTTGCATAAATACTAAATGTATACAAGAGCCCAATTCATGCACAGTGAATATTAATATGAAAGTTCACTTGGCTGTGAGGGTCATACAGATGTGTGTGTGTGTCTTTGATTTGTGTGTGTGTGTGACAATGATACATACCGGTATGCATTTTGTACTTCTGAAATGATATCAGCTGAGCTCCCAGTATTTTCTATGTTACACTTTACCCACACGTGTATTTCCAGACTGACATGATTACTACTGCATTGAAGTAACCAGACTGTTGTCTGTGTTTTTGTCCACAGTCTCCACACCTGGGCTTGGCCGCCGTGTCAGTCGATATAAGATCATCAAGTCCTCCACATCAGGTGCTGGCACCAGTTCAAAACGGTGAGTCCACCCAGCACGCGTGTGTGTGAGTGAGTGTGTGTGTGAGTGAGTGTGTGCGTATGCGTATGCGCGCGTGTGTGTGTCTGTGTGTGTGCCTGTGTGTGCATGTGTGTATGTGCGTGTGTGTGCGTGCGTGTGTGTGTGTGCATGTGTGTATGTGTGTGTGTGTGTTTGTTTGCGTGTGTGTGTGCGTGTGTGTGTGTGTGTGTGTGCTTGTGTGCGTGTGGTTTAACTTTTATATCTCCAGGAAGACTAGTGTAGTATACATTGTCCTCACCAATGGAGATCTGTCCAAGCCTCGTTATGCACAGGTTCGTTAGACAGAGATTCATGGCTGTTTTACATGTTAATTAGTTGGGAAATAAAAATGGCAACAGGACACTATTAATTTACATATTAATTTCTTCACACCTCCCTTCTAACACAAATTATTCCCACTTACAAAGGGATAATAAACTGACTTCTGTCTGCTGTTTCTGACTTTATTCTGTCTGTCTTCTGTTTTCTACTCTACTGTCTTCTCTTGGCCCATTGCCAGACACTGGACACACACAGAGCTCAGTTAACCTGTATCCTTCCAATATTCACTCCAGCTAATTCTACCAGGTGCAGTGTTTAAATGTTCTATGTACTACAAATGTTTCCAAACCATTCTTTATTTTAGTGCTGTAACAAAACATCTTTAACGGTTTGACTATACTGTCGGTATTACGTCCCTAATATTCGAACAGCCCTTTTTTATTGCCACTACAAAGAAATAAAGGACAGCAATCATGTCCATTCAAGGTAATAAAATCCCAATTAGGAGAATTGATCAGGAGGGAGAAGCTAAATTAGTTCATAAAGTTTACATCAGAGACGATTCTCAGTCTGCTGCTATTGATAATGGTTCAGAAGCAGACATCTCTGTAAATAAATTGTTGAACAAGGATGTTTATGTAGTGATTTTTAAGTCTAAGTTGTACAATTTGGTTGTAAGTGTTGGTAGAGGATGTAGTGGTTTGTTATGATCTGTTACCCTACTAGGTTGTACCTGTCCAACATTGTGTTTTGAGAGAATGCATTGCTTTGTTGTTGTGATTTGTAACCCTGGGTTGTACATGGTTGTAAGAGAGGTTGTATCAGTTGTAGTGATTTGTAACCCTGGGTTGTACACGGTTGTATTGGTGTGTTGTAGTGATTTGTAACCCCAGGTTGTACATGGTTGTAGTGATTTGTAACCCTGGGTTGTACACGGTTGTAGTGATTTGTAACCCTGGGTTGTACACGGTTGTATCAGTGTGTTGTAGTGATTTGTAACCCTGGATCCTACATGGTTGTAGTGATTTGTAACCCTGAGTTGTACACGGTTGTAAGAGCAGTTGTATCAGTGTGTTGTAGTGATTTGTAACCCTGGGCTGTGCACAGTTCTACAGCGGAGCTGGGACCAGTAAACCTGCCCATTGATTCCCGAGATCTATTTTCACGTCTCTTTTATCCGTTAACAGTAGCCCTAAGTCCCGATGGATGCTGCATTAATTGGCGCCATAAACCGGGCGGAATGGGTTTGACAAGCGCTGGGAGGGCTGTAGCTCTGCTGTCAATATCAGCCGCGACGATTGGCCCCAATTAGACCGTCTTTCTCCCCGGCTGTAAAGTCACCGCTGAGAGAGGGTAGCCGGGGAGGCGCTGGGGTTAGGGTTACAGCACGGCTTTAGCCAGCACAGTCACATGCAGGAATGATGTGATGTGTGACAGAAAAATTTTTAAACCAATGAATCTGTCAACTTTGATGGACAAAATTGTTGGGTGAAAATGTGAAAACATGGAAAGGACCAACAATAAGCACTCTCATCCCAATGATGTGCCTCTCAAAATGTGGAATTTTTAAAGGCTTGGAAATCCAAAACTTGTCACCAGACTCCCTTAGATTGCGAGCACTCCCCTCCCTTAAGTCTGGTCATGAACCTGGGCTGATAGAAAAACATTTTGAGCTTGCTAGAGCCCCGGGTTACAGCAGGCTGCAGGAGGGATGGGGGAGATAGGATGGGGGTTAGAGATTACTACCTAATACCAGCTCAGAAAAGAACAAGAAATAGCCATGGCCTCAAGTACCAGAGTTATCAACCAAGGATTGAGGTGTTCAAGAATTCATTCTTTCCTAGAACTATGGCAGAGTGGAACTCGCTGTCACCAAGTACAAAATGTACAGTAGTTTCATTGTCACTAGATAGCTTTAAATAAGTTAGATGTTCAAGGGTTAGGTGTAACAAGTCATTCAGTGTAATGTAGCCGCTGCTGCCACGCCATGTGCCCGCGAAGCTGGTGTGTTAGGCTAGATTAAATAACTACCTGTTCAACTACAGATTTCCTTATTCACTGACAAAAAGTAGTGGATACAACTTGAAACATCTGACAGTTTTCAAAATTATCCAGTTGCTTGAGTAGCTGTTTTCTTACACACAAGTGTATCTCATTACCTGGATGTCTAACCTTCATCGACATATCTGTTGTTTTGTCCCACCTTTGTTTCCATTCCACTTTCCTTTTGCTTGTTGCATTTCTTTGTTTTGTCCAACTTTTTACCTTTCCAACAAGTTTTCCTATAAATCACTGTATTTGATCCACAGGAGAATAATAAAGTCACTGTGAAAAGTTAAAGGAACTCAGAAACACTTCATAGATTTATAATCTTGGCATTTATCACAAACAGTAATAAAGTCCTGTCCTTCTGTATCGACTCTTCAGTTTTACCCTGTTCTGTTTCCTGTATTGCCTTTAACTGACGTAAGAAAATTGGTCCAGCGCTCGTTTAGTTCTTAATTGGTTTATAATCATGGATGATGAATGTGTTTATAGCAGCTGTATTGTCCCCTGTAGCAGGGGGAGTGGATATTGCTGAATATCACAAACCTGTGTTCCAGTTTAGACAAGCACTCCACATCCATTTTAAAGAAAATTTAGGTCTTAATTTGGTTCAGTCTTTGGTAGCAGCCTTAATTCTGCCAGCTTGTCTTAAGTGAAAAAGAAAATTGGACAAAGCATCGCATTATACAAACCAAACTGATCTATGTTTTCCACCTCATGTGATTGGAAGCAAAGTCAACTTGTCAAAACTGTACATACATGTATGTAGTTGGAAAGTTTGACTTGTGTCTTGTGACAGGATGAATAAAAGTTCGAAACGGGAACTATGTGGCTCCAGATGTCTTACTGAGAGATGACTGTGGTTTGATAGATGTCAGTTATCTTGAGGAATGAATCTACTCTACTTTATACTAATGCGTTCTGTGTCTCATCAGCTTTGTAACTCATGTGTTGTGGGGTCAGGTACATACACACACACACTGTCCGGTTTATCGTCTTGTTGTTAACTTTTTTTAAAACAGTGTAACAGTTATGTAGGTTACATGTATGCTTTGCTTGGGTTTTGAAATCCGGTTGTTGATGTTGTGTGTTTTGTGTCCGTAGCGCGAGGCCAGACCCTCGGACAGCGCGTTATTACGTAAAGACAGCATCAGGAAAACTGCTGGTGAAGGGAGGAGTCGTGTACAAACTCAGCAGCAGTCGGCTCACACGGGCATCACCACTCACCAGCCGCACTGCGCAGAAAACTCTCACTGGTAAGCATTCTGTTTATTTGTTTGTTTGTTTGTTTGTTTGTGTGGATGGATGGATGGACGACAGACAGACAGAATGGATGGATGGACAGTCGGTTGGTTGCTTGGTAAGTTGGAATCTGTAGTCAATGCTTCACCTCCGTCCAGCTAATCTAGGAAAATAATGCTCAGTCTGGTACATGCAGAAACACCCTAGGCTTTTAAATTTATTTCTTTGTTTTACTGTTTTACTTTTTTGCCTGACACCAACAGTCTATGCCTCTCCTAACCAGACCTGACAGTTTCATCATGCATCTAAATGAAGATTGAAGGATACTTGATAAACTATTCGTTCAAGCTTTCATTAATTTCAATCATTTGATACTTGATATTTGATATAAATAGGCTTGCTTTAGAATTTAGATGGCCCGTAATTGAGGTGGAAGTTGAGTGCAGTGAGGTGTGAGCCTCTGTTTTTTGTTTATTTGTGTGCATGTATCTGTCTGACGCTGCCTGGCATAAAGACTGTATCAGACTGTCGAACTGCCTCAGATTTAGTTTAGTTTGGTATAAATAGATTAGGTTTAGAATTTTAATGGCTGACCGTTAAGTTGGGATCTGGGCCGGGTGAGGTAGGAAGACTGAGATGTTTTTGTTTGTTTGTTTGAGCCTATGTTTCTTGCATGTATCCATCTGACATTGGCTGGCATAAAGACTGTACCAGACCGTCAGACCACCTCAGCCGTGCACTCTGGGCTGGTCATGAGTGGATTTGTGGAATTGCCAGAGCAGACAACTGACAATTTGCTCTAAACGCGACACTGATGCAGGATTCGGGTCAGAGATCAGAAGAGATCATGTTCCTGGGTCCCCAGATCAGTTTTGGGATTGTGTTTGGCTGTGAGCAGATCGAGTGTGATCTGTGGGATTCAGCAGATCCAGGTAGATCTAGATCAGTCTGTCCAATCACTCCCGGTTATCGAGTTCTGCCACCTCTGCATGCTGTTCAATGTTGTTACATGGGGCAGAACCTACTCAGCAGTGCCCAGTTACCTCAGGCCTAAGAAAAAAATGTTGTGTTTCCTGTTTCATTCCTGGAAAAATTCGGGTCTGAAGGATTACCTTTTTTGTCTTCTTTTTTTTTTATGTTGTTAGACTTTGGCAATCTCTAGTGATCCAACTTATGCAGTACAGTTTAACAAAGTAAAACTTGCACGAGGACATTTTTATTTTCAATGTCAATATTGGTAAAACTGATCATACAACATTTCATCACTCAGGTGTCAGAGCATGAATCTAGAAATTGTCGATCAGCTTGAAATGTCCCTTTCATGCAGGGGTCCACACACAAAAAAAAGGCTAGGGTTGGTAGTTTTTTTCTAGAGTCGATCGGGAAACAGGAAACACAACTATTTTTTTCTTGGCTTAACGCCCCTCCCTGCATGTCCATCAGCTAAAACAGCCCGCAACAAGAGAGGAGGGACAACAGAAGTTTTGGACGCAGTTAGATTTTTTTAAAAAACATGTCCGGATCAAAGGACTTGGGTACTTCGTTTGGGAAACAGGAAACACAACTTTTTTTTTTCCTAGGCCTAACGCCCCTCCCCGCATGTCCATCAGCTAAAACAACAAAATGACAACAGAAGTTTCAGATACACTTAGATTTTTTTAAGAACATTGGGATCAATGGGACTTGGGCACTTTGGTTGAGAAACAGGAAACACAACTTTGTTTCCCAGCCCTAACACCCCCCCCCCCCAGCTGCACGGCTGCCATAAACCCATCCATCTTCAGCAGCGTGATTCACGACGAAGGGCCGATGCAAAATTTACCGGGATCGGGGATAAATAATTGATGTTTTTGAGGGATTGATTTGCGGGCGCTAACCGAGTGTGAAATATTCATACTTGAACTACGGGGAAAAGGTCGTGCTGGATCCATCATCGCTTGTCCACATCCCCGCCTGCCGCCGACACTCAAACGCCAGAAGGGATTTATCACAGGTTAGGGAGGGAGACACACCTGCAGACTGAAATGTACCTCAGGCCACACCAATTTAATTTCTTGGTTAACGGATTCTCCGCTTCATTTTTTTCTGATTTGCAAATAAAAATAAAAATTCAGAATCAACTGCAAAATGCTCATATTTTGCCCTAAACAGTTGAAAACAGTCCTTTTCATCCTAGTTGTTACAGTTATTCCATCTTTCAATGCAATGGTATCATTAAAAGTTCAAAATTCATTGTTTACCGTAAATTTTGAACCAGCCTGGTGTGTTGACTTCATGGCTCCTATCGTACCATTTTGGGCCATAATAGGATGCCTATACATGTATAGGCATATATTATTTTTCTACAAAAATCCGTTAACCAAGAAATTAAATTGGTGTGGCCTCAGATGACAATTAAAAAAATTCAGACTGCAGGAAAAATAAAGCAGGGATGGAAACAAACCTGCGACCTGCATAGTGTACAGAAAAATATCGCTGGAAAAATGAAACAGTCACCGTGGTTAAGCTCAAACAATGATACCAGGTGTTATACTATGAAATACACATTGATTCTGCAATTTGCAAAAATGGATTTGAGATTGCAGGAAAAAAACAGTGTCAGTGAAGCTAACAAAACAAGTACACATGTATTCCAGATTGCTAGCAAAAAAGGGAGCCACAGTGACATGTACATGTGGTTAGCCAAAATACTGTAGTAGGTACAGTTTTTTTAATCACAATGTGAAAAAACAGAAATATATTGTATTTTGAGCCCCCTGTTTAACCTTTACCATTCCACCTAATCTCAAACGATACAAATTTGGTACCCAACTTTGATGCAGAATGACTACCTTAGAAGACTGATTCGGAAGGTTGAGTAAAGGTTTAAAAAAAAGGGGCAAAAAAGAAAGGGAAAAAAACACAACCAATATTTCTTAAACACACTGGAAGCTATTAGGACTGTTTGATTCTCAACTACGAAATGATCCAATCCAGGTGCTCAGGTATCCATCACGTGATGTCCACCTACCTTACTAACCCTGACACTGACAATTGTCATGTGCCTGATATAGGAACCTGCATCCTGCATACTTTATTCATCAAACCACATGGAAGGCTATTACATTTGGAAAACGGCTGCTTGTTTCATATTGTAGGCTGGTTCTACCTATTTGTGGTGCCAGAAAATAAAGGGACTCATCTTGTAGCTTGTTTTGGGGCTATTTCAAACACTTCAAGTATCTGTATCTGTATAGCGGGTATAAATACCCTTCGGCGTAACACACCAGCTTAACTACAAAATGATGACAAAAATGTGCAAAGAAATGTCATTAAATGTCAATGTCAGACAGATTTGCTGGTCATATCTTTTGGTCTGCCACCCTGAAATCGCATTGGATGCCCTTAAGATAAAAAAAAGTGGTATGCGTATCATTAAAATCCGCTATTAATTCAAAATCATCACCATATTTCCCTTCCTCCTGTCCCTACAGACAAACCAGTCGGACAGAAAGTAGTGAAGGTGAACATCCGCGGAGAAAAGTTCCTCCTAGACTCTAGCGGCAAGACTCTGACTCGAGTCAAGGAAAATGCAGGTAAGGCCACACCAATTTAATTTCTTGGTTAACGGATTTTTCTAGAAAAATAATGGAGCGAGCGGGCGAAAAAAAAATAAAAATAAAAACAGGCCTAGGCATCGTATTATGGCCCAAAATGGTACGATAGGAGCCATGAAGTCAACACACCAGGCTGGTTCAAAATTTAAACAATGAATTTTGAACTTTTAATGATACTATTGCATTGAAAGATGGAATAACTGTAACAACTAGGAAGAAAAGGTCTGTTTTCAACTGTTCAGGGCAAAATATGAGCATTTTGCAGTTGATTCTGGATTTTTATTTTTATTTGCAAGTCTGAAAAAAATGAAGCGGCGAATCCGTTAACCAAGAAATTAAATTGGTGTGGCCTAAGTAACCAAACCTGGCTTGTGATTAGGACACACCTGTTTACTTACTGGGTTCTCAGAAATTTATTTATTTTTTTATTATTTTTTTTATTTATATTTGTGTCAACAACAACATATCTCGCAGCCTTGACATACAGGGCTGAATTCTGATGTTTGTTTACAACATTAATTATTAATTAATAGTAAGGTGATACAAATTACAATCATGTCGGAATCTAAAGATTGATATAATATCACTTTGGTTCAACGAATTTAGATATTTACAATAATTTCAAGATGAAAATATTGCAAGTGTGCAAGGTGATGCAGAGGGCTGGGAAGAAAACTTGTATCAGACTAATTTTGTTCTTTCCTAGAAAGTGTGGGCACCAAAGTACTAACTTAGTTATTTTCCTCTCAGACTTGATTTTCAAAGCATGATCTTTTTTTAAACATCCGAGAACCAACAAATAAAAGTCAAACCCAACAAGTTAGAAATTCAATTTAGAGTCTGCATTTAGCATCTTTTTGTTTTAACCAAAAAACTAAAGTCAAACTTAACAAGTTAGAATTTAGAGTCTGCAGTTAGACCAGCTATGTTGTTCTTCATTGTTCATCTTTATCATGCAACTTGTGACCAGCCTTCGGTCCAGAATCTGCAGTAAACTAGTTATGATGTTGTGAAAGTTGGGCTGCCTGAAGGCGAGTGTTTGAAGTGTGTCCATCCTGGTTTGCTGGTGTCTCCTGTGGTTCTCAGTGAGAAGATTTGTGAGGTTTAGCGGGAAGACTTGCGGGGTTCTCGACATGGAAAAACCATTAAGCACATTGAGGGCTTCAAAGTCTATCGGAGGCGGCCGTGAATATTGGTCCAGCGCGGGAGGGCCGGGTTATCGAACACCGGCCGGGGCTTAATTGCTTTCTGTACACGGTTTGTTGGGGGTGATTTGTTGGGCAAAGTTTGATGATTGTTTGGCTCTCCAGGGGGTTCCACCAATGAGGCCGCGGGGACACGTGCCCGGGAGGAACCACCGCAGCCCAGGGGGGTGTCCAGGGTGGTGATCCGAGGCGTCCCGTACATCCGCACGGCGCCGGGAAAACTTGTGCGGTCTTCGGCGACCAACAAAGTCCAGGAGCTGGCCAGGTGAGAGAAACGAGAGGTGGACGGTTCAAACAAGGGATGGACAAAAGTCTAGATAAGTTAAATAGAACTGAAGTTGCCAATACAATGTAGCTCATTATCTAAAGACCTTATGGATAGAAATATAAGATTTTAGTTAGATTATAATGTTTGTAATTCAAAGCTGACTGCATTGTTTGCATGATTACTCTGGTTGTACTGCATTTTGTATAAATAAGCTGCTCGTTGTGTTCCTGAAAGAGTAAAAAGTAGGAGTAGAAACAGAGAAGAAATGTTGAGCATGTTTTCTGCTTTTGCAATTCACAGAGTCACTACAACACGACACATCACAGGTTCACTCTGAAGTATTAAATCACAAAATTGACATTAAAAAACACAGTACACAGCTCCCTGTCACCTTTCCTGGGGCTGGAAAGCCACAGAATTGAGTTAAAGGGTGAGAAGACAAAAGGAGTTCCATTTGAGGGTGCGGAAAGCCATGAGATTTTATTACAGGAAACAAAACTGTTGTCGTTCTGTCAGAGGCCACGAAAAGTCGTGGAATTTGATTTCAGGTTGTAGAAAGAGTTGAAACTCCATTATAGGTGGTAAAAACTGCTGGAATTACATTTGATGCCACAGAATTGTTGTAAAGGTCACAGAAGGACAAAAAATGCCAAGGGCACACTTCTGCTGACTTTGTGCAGTTTCAAAACTCTCATGCAGCCTTCAGTCTAAAAAATCTACCTCTAACAACATTATAAGGAAACAAAAAAGACACCCATATTATGGCTTTATCTTATGACCTTGACCCTTGTTCTTATGTCCTTGATAGTTGTATCTTTGACCTTGACCTTCATTCCCTTGACCTTGTTGCAATGCCCTTGATTTTTTGTTACACGACCTTGAAGCTCTTATCCATGGCTCTTGTCCTAATGACCTTGACCTTTGTACCCATGACTTTGACCCTTGCCCTCCGCCCTGCCCAGCCGTGCGGTACAGAGGAGCATCCTGACCAGCCAGACGGCCCGGTACAGGAAAACCAACCGCCAGGCGGCCGCGCGCCAGTTCTGCATGTTCTACAACCGCTTCGGCCGCTGTAACCGTGGCAACGACTGCCCATACATCCACGACCCCGACAAGGTCGCCGTCTGCACAAGGTGGGTTGTCATGGTTACGATTTTGTATTAACGCTACAAACATTAGAAAACAAAGGAATATTCCTCAGGGACTTCATCATATACTTAAGACACAGGGAATTCCTTAGTGAACACCTCAGGCTCTGGTAAAAACTAGATGGAATACCTGCCAACTGCACACCCGACTCCCTTCATTCACCCACCGAGCCAAACGAGCTCCTTCCAATCTGTCCCCAAGTGTCATGGGAGCCCCCCCCCCACCGCACCGATCCAAACTTGTGTTCATGGAAAGTTGTGTTGGCTGTAAAACTAGCCCATAAACTCCTCCAAGTGGTCGAACTGTGAGGCATAACATTCTCTCTACAGCCCAACATTTAGTCTTTTTACTTGTACTTGTGAATGATCTGATATTGTTACAGTACTGTTTTTACTTATACCTGTTATAATGGCCTGATATGGCACTGTTTTTAATTACTTGTACTTGTAAATTGACATAACTTGTGTTTGTCTAAAGTTGTGTGTCGGCTGTAAAAGTGTCCATAAAGCCCTCCCATACTGATGAGGCAGAGTTGTCAGTGATGAAGTACCGTCCCAGGGCCAAACCTTGTTCACTCTTTGATTTCCCTCCAAATGAGCCACCATTTTTAATTGCTGCCGGTCGGGAGACTTTGATTCATGGGCGGGCCGTCGGCTTAAGTACACGGGACACGCTTGCCTGCAGACACGCTCCCAAATGACACTCGCGCTTACTCCGGTGTAAATTATAGGATTTCTCCTCCCTGCTTTCCATTTGTATCAATTTCCCGGGAATCTGGTGAGGAATGTCGCGACTTGTCTGCTGCGTGTCCGAGCGTTTGCGCCGGGCGTGTTTATTGGGTACAGAACGGCTCGGATGGCAGCAGCTTCGTCACGTTTGGTCCGGCGATTTCTCTTCCCACGCCGCGTCGTTCATACGCATTAACGGGAAATCCATGGAGAAATACGCGGCGGCTCCTTTATGCCTCCTGCCACTTCTGCTAACGTCGCGGCTCGCACCTGGTCCTGCCACGGAACAAAGAACCGAACAGCGACTTGAAAGTACCAACTCTTATTGACGACATTAGCAGAGTTACGACGCCGCGCTAAGTGCCCATTTTTCTCGGCGACGAGAACTAAGCTTTTTATCCGCCGTCAAATTTGGTTCTGAAAACATCGGATTCAGTTTGTGGAAGTGGAATAAATGTGTTTTTAATGTCTGCAGCTCATTAGAGTTTTATGATGTTTGATATTTAATGATCGGGTGAGAATTAGGCTGGGGGTTTGTAATGATTTGATGAATGAAATTGAAATTGAAAGACTGAAATTGTGTGAAAAAAAGTGCACTAGTGAAGGACTTGTGGACAGAGTTGTTTTTTCTTAACGTCAGTAGTGTAGTGTGTCAGCCAAAAAATATCAAACATCATAGTTTTATGTTGACTTGTAAACTGTCAGTTTCTGTAAAAATGTTGGTTCGTGTAAGAAAGAGAAAAGCCTCTTCTCCCGTGTCCATAGTCCCATTCCTGTAGTATTGACCCTGTTCAGTGATTTTTTAAACTATGAAAACATTGGTTGACGTAAGAAAAGCTGCCTGTTATTGACCCTGTCTAGTGATGGTTTTGTAGAGCTTGACGAAGTGAAAACATTGTAAGAGGAAACTCCATGACACTGTCCATCAAACGTTGGTTCATGTTAGAAAGACAAAACTCAGTGAAGATTTTTTAAACTGCAAGAAATTTGGTTAATGCAAAAAGGTTGGTTAATGTCCCTAGTTGCTGTAGTATTGACCAGTCCCATGATGGATCCAGACATTGTCGGCTGCAGAAGTTAATTTAGATGTTTTTTGAAACTGTAAAAACGTTAGTTATTGTAAAAACGTTGTTTAATGTCCCTAGTTGCTGTAGTATTGACCAATCCTGTGATGGATCCAGACATTGTCGGCTGCAGAAGTTAATTTGGATGTTTTTTGAAACTGTAAAAACGTTAGTTATTGTAAAAACGTTGTTTAATGTCCCTAGTTGCTGTAGTATTGACCAGTCCTGTGATGGATCCAGACATTGTCGACTGTAGATGTTCCAGACATTGGGGGAAGTTATGGATGTTTTGTTTTTTGAAACTGTAAAAACGTTGGTTAATGTAAGAAGGTTGTTTAATGTCCATAGTTGCTGTAGTATTGACCAGTTGAGTGATTTTTTAAACTGTAAAACATTGGTTAATGTAAGAAAAGTTGCCTGGTATTGACCAGTCCGTGATGGATCCAGACATTGTCGGCTGCCGACGTCCTTTGAAGCGGGCGACACCAGCAGGTGTAATAAACACAGCGGGGGTCGATCGGCTGACAAATGGACACGGATTTAACTTGTCAACTTCCACACGGAGTAACTAACTTCTCACAGTGCAGGCTGCTGGCAACTTGGTCTGTCTTCCTCTGAAACTGTCGGCTGAGCAGAAATTTTCCTTCTGTTTCCATTTCAGTCTGCTTTTGTCCCTGCTTGAGAAATGGAGATACTTCACATTTAACTTGTCAACTTCCACATGCAGTAACTTACTAGAAGTACTCCTCACCATGCAGGCTGCTGGCAACTTGGTCTGTCTTCCTGAAACTGTCGGCAGAGCAGATTTGTTGGAAATCATCCTTCTGTTTCCATTTCCTTTTGTTTCTGTCTTTTGATTGAGAAATGGAGTGACTTCTTGTCTATAACTTTCACATTGAGGTGCTTTTCTAGTCACTTTGTCTTTCCTAGAATCAAATTGTCGAAACTCCTTTCTTTTTTAAGTTTGATTCCCAGTCTGTTTTGATATGGATGGATGGGGCTGATCATGATCAATGGGCTTGAATTTGTCAGGAGTTGCACTTGGAGTTGTTTCTTGCAGTGCTGGTTCTTTTGGGCAGTTCTTTTGTCTTCCTTAGAAAGTGTCCAAACTATGTCTGTAAAACATCTTTCTTAGTGTGGCCTCAGTGTGCTGCTGTTGTAGTGTACATTGTCTCCTAGCTGGTTGGATTATGAAGGTATCTTAATTCTTTTATCAAGACTTGTGCTACATGTAAATGTGTCAAAAACTTTATTCTCTTGAAGAGAAGACATTAAAAACATAAGCTAGAAGATTAGCCCTACTGGATTTTATACTGTATTTAGCTCTTGCTGTTTAGTAATTAGGAGTTAATTTCCATTCTATAGTATACCCTTTTCTTTCTTTTCTGTACTATGTTCAATAGTTGTTACCATACATTGTACCATGTACGATTGTCGTGCAATAAAGTTCTTCTTCTGTAAATGTGAGTTAATTTGTCAGTACTGGTGAGTATGCGATGTGATGACTTTTGGCAGCTGTTCCACCGGAGATGAAATATGAAGGTTTCATTAAACATTAATCAGTGTCGGCTGCCATGATAGCTTTCTCTGTGGGGAATGCAAATTAACGAACCATATACAGGATAAGCTAAGACTACACCTCTGTTTCAAAGACATCAAAGACATTTTGTTACTTAAAGTTGATAATATCTTCTCTCTTCAACAGAATAAAGTTCTAGGTTCATTTAGCACTTTGATAAAAGAATTAAGAGATTTTTTAAGGAAAGGTCTTGATAACCCAACCAGTTAGAGACAACTGTTGTCCTCACTTGGTCTGACTTGCAGTAGAGCAGAATGGTGTATATGTGTGTCCAGCCATAACAACTAGGACAACATTGGCATGAATGTTGTCACATGCACATTGATGATAGTGTACAAATGTACATGCGTACAGTAAATGTCTTCATGTATTTTGATGAGGTTCAGCAAGTGGCTTATACATGTATTTTTGTTACCAGCAGGTGAATTTTAATTTTTAACCAGACTAACTTCTACCACAAGTAAGGACACTTTATTGACACAACTTTTGAAGAGTTGGCTCAACAGTCTGAGTTCTCGCTGAACTCTTGTACAGTTGAGACTCTTTCCTACATAATTGGTAAACAAGCCCAGGTTGTGTGAGTCCTGCCTACAGTCCGTGACAGGCCATGTCATATCTCAGAGGAACCCCGTCCTGTGGTCCGCGTCAGTTCTGAGCGGCAGGAGGAGGATTAAAAACGACATCCTTGCGTCCGTTTCCCCGGAGATGAGGAGGAATATCAGGGTTTGATGGACGCTGACAGCCGCGGTGTCCCCGTCTGTCAATATCAATTTTCCCCACCTGCCTCCCCAGACCCCACACACCTGTCCTGGGTGTCTGTCCAGCAAGTCGAGCAGGGTTATTGCTGGCTGTGTGCGTTTCTGATGTCTCTGTAGTGGGACTCTACTAGCAGGGGTCCGGTGTCCTTCTGTTCCCATTTCAGTCTGTTAACCGAAGGAAAACATATTGTTTTTGCTCAATTTCTTCCTCTTTTTCTTCTTCCATTCCAAACAAATAAGGTCAATGACCAGGACCAGATCATATGTTGTAACCATGCTGTAACAATAGTTGAAAAGATAAAGGGAAAGCTGACTGCCTGTTGCCCCTACTTTCATCAATGCGTTTGGAGGTGGCAGCTTTTCAGTGTATGATTTTGGCAAGGTTATAGCCAGTTTTGTGCCTATGTTATGCCCGAGTGACTGTATATAACTGTCTGTCCCCATCCAGCTGCCCAGTTTTCTTCAGTATAGTGTCAGATTTGGGAAGGGTTATAGCATATCAGAATCTGTACTAGTACATGACTTTTATTGTACATATTTGCTGCCTGAGTGACTGTTGTATATAACTGTCCTGTTGCCCGTTGCTGATTAATGTCCCGTAGCCCGGCCATGGCAGGCAGACATGTAACGTGCAGTGAAGTATTGCTGTGGTCACCATGTGATGCATGGTCCGGCGTGTTGGCCGCGCGGCTAACCGGCCCCCGGTCCACCCGGTTACCCCCGCCCGGCGCGCTAACGAGCCGGCCGCACTGCCAGGCCGCGCCGCGTGATCGATGGAGCGTGCAGGCAGACCAGCCGGATCCGGCGTGAAGTATTGCAGGCGTCAACATGTGATACATGGGTGGGCACAGAACC